TTCCTCCCGCAGACCTTAACGGTGGTAGGGCCAGAGAGCAAGTACTAAACTGTATGGTGCATAAACAGTGCGGGTCTAAGAACATTTCATCACCTTGCATGCAGGATGATCGCAATCGTACTGGAGTTAAAGTTTGCGGCAAGAGATATCCTCAACCATGGCGTAAAGCTGCTGTAGTCAACAGTAAAAACGGGAGAGCGGAATACCGTCGACGCGACACAGGAGAAAAAATTCCGTACAAGCACAAAGTTGACGGCAAGTATGTAGAATCTTTCGCTACGAACCAATGGATCACCCCGTACAATATATGGCTCCTTTCCAAATACAACTGCCACATGTGTTTCGACGTGTGCACCGGTAGTGCGATAGTCAAATACATATACAAGTATATAAACAAAGGTGCTGATTTTATTAAGGCAAAGATTCTATGTGACGGCGACGAGATCGAGGCATACCGCTCAGCTCGTTACATATCAGCTGCAGAGGCTGCGTGGCGGTTGCTGGGTTTCCATGTCATCGAACGTAACCCGTCCGTCAGTTCTCTCCGACTGCACCTTCCCAACGAACAGCAAATTGTTGTAGACGAATCTCTTTCACGCGCTGAGCAAAAGGTGGCGGCACGGGCGTCCACGTCCGATCTACTTCTTTACTTAGGGAGGCCTACTGACCAAACATTTGATTCGCTACCTACTTGGACTACAAGAACAGTACATCGTCAAGAAAGACAAGGCCCGTCAGGGGACGTTTTTCAGAGACAAATTCCGCATCTATGTCACACCGCGGTCGTCCGATAAACATGTTGCGCGTGTGTCCGTCATGTCTCCGGACAAAGGTGATGTTTTCTTCTTGCGCCTGCTTCTACACCATAAACCAGCAAGATCTTTCGAACAGTTGAGAACGCACGATGACACCGTCTACGACACGTTTCAGGACGCCGCCAGAGCAATGGGAATTATAAAGCACGACGACGAGTACAGAATTTGCTTACAGGAGGCGGTCATATTTAACACGGGTAGACAACTGCGTGAACTATTCGTTACCCTTATTCTTGACGGCGCTCCGGCCAAAATATTGTGGGAGCAGTTCAACCAGGACTTCACCGAAGATTTGCGAATAAACATGTCTGATCGGGATGCCAACAACACCGCACTCCGCCAAATTGATCTCGGTTTGCAGCACCACGGACGAACGAATGAGGTCGTTGGTCTGACGGCGGTAGTGCACCTAGATACCGAATACATGCGATTTAAACACATGTTCGACCCAGCTCAGATGAGTGCATTCGTTGACGAGCACTTGGCAAATCTCACCCACGAGCAACGGCATGTGTACGATACCGTCGTTTCAAGCGTAACATCAGGCGCCTCGAACCTATTCATGATTGATGCGCCAGCTGGCACTGGCAAGACGTACACGGAGAGCATACTGTGCGCCCGTCTCAGGTCCATGAGCAAATTAGTTTTGTGTGTAGCCAGTACCGGAATTGCCGGACTTCAATTGCCAGGAGGATGGACAGCGCACTCCATGTTTAAGCTTCCGCTGGAAGATAAAAACGTCAGTGGAGCAATGTGTAATATCTCTGCAGAATCACAACGAGCGGAAGTGCTACGTAAATGCGACCTTATTGTTTGGGATGAGATTCCAATGAGTCACCGTTTTTCCGTTGAAGCGCTCAACCTTACACTGCAAGACCTAATGGGCAATGACAACATAATGGGAGGAAAAACCGTACTCCTCAGCGGCGATCTACGTCAAATAGGTCCTTTTATCAAGCATGGTGGACCAGCTGGGACTATTGATGCGTCGCTCATATCCAGCCCGCTTTGGCCTCATGTACAACGCATGCGACTAACAATTTCACAGCGTCATCGAAAGAACGCCGCGTACGTACGCTGCTTTTGCTCGAAATGTCGGTATGTCGGTATGTCGGTATGTCGGTATGTCGGTATAGGAACACAAGCCCACACAACAGCGAACGACGGTATCGATGCAGTGCCGTTAGCATATAGACTATTCATGAAGTTCCGGACAGACAGCCCGAAAGATCAGTTTGTCATCGACAACACGGACTCATTCGAAGAACTAATTGACTTTGTTTACCAAGATATTCTCACCGCCGACCCTACCGACTTCAAGGCGAGAGCAATTTTGTCGTCGACAAATGCCACAATTGACTTAATCAACTCCCACGTGCTTGACATTCTGCCCGGGGACATGCTAACGGCATATAGCTGTGACACAGTTGACCCTCACGATAATAACCTTGACTTCGTTGCTACGGCTGATCTCAACGCAATCGACGTTTCAGGCGTGCCGCCACATGCATTGGAGTTGAAGTTAAACTGCATGGTCATGATAACACGGAACCTCAATTTCAAGCAGGGTTTGGTCAACGGTCAAAAGGCTATAGTGCGTGGTTACTCAACACGGATTGTGCATGTAGAACTCCTTGATGGACTGTCCTCTCTAGTTCTGATACCGCGTATACGTCTTAATGCAAAAGTTGGGCGGAACGGGATCGCTTTCTCGAGGTTGCAGCTGCCGCTTCGCGTTTGCTATGCCCTAACGATCAACAAGAGTCAAGGTCAAACTCTGTCCAAAATCGGGCTTGACTTGCGGTCAGACGTTTTCACGCATGGGCAACTCTACGTAGCACTCAGCAGGGCGCAGAAGCGATCGTCGATTATGTGCCTCACATTACCCGCGAGGTTGCGTGGTTCCCTAAACCGTACCGCATTTGTTGCCAACATTACCTTTCCAGCTTTCGTTAACGCTGCAACTGACACCATCACTGACTCACCGCCTCTACCACCGCAATATATCGACTTCATTGGATTCACACATGCGACGAACGACCAGGTCCCCAACAGCGACGAAGGACAACTTCAAGAGGACGACAACCACGACGATGAACAGACCATGTCACGACACCCCAACCAGTGCGCTGATGGCGGCTGGATTGAAGCCAAAGGGCTTTCGCGATAGCTCCACACATTACGTAGAGTGTAGCGGTTCGTGTACCGAAGACAGTACTGGGCGTGCGCTTCCTGTAGCGTTGAGGATTGGGCGTATTGGTTCTTTTGCTCTCTAGTGCGAATTCGTCGTGTCGGGTTTACATGGAGGTGTCGTGTCGGAAAAACTTGTGGGTAGCGCGTTCGCGGGCTATGGCATTAGTTACTGCAGCGACAGTTGCCATTCGTGGGTGTCGTGTGTCGGATTCTTCTGGGCGACGCAAGCGCATGTTCATGAGTGCTGGCATTGGTATTCGCAGGTGTCGTAACGGATTTGACTAGTGGGAGACCTAGCGCATTTTCATGGGTGTTCGCATGGCTTCATGTGGTGTTGACAGTCATGGATGGTTACTGCAGCCGTTGGTATTAGCATGAATAACGACCGCGAACTAGGAACAATACGGCGGGCGTTGCCCCCTGACATTCCTTCTGGCATCACACACCATCTAAATCCTGCCTACACCACACAAGCGTATACACACACTTAGTTCCCATTCATCTTGGGAACCGCTCACAGTGGGCGTGGCGGCGTAAGCCGCCGTAAAACCTTGTAGAGTCTATATATTGTTTTTTTCTCCCATCATCGGACTCTGTCGTCTGCCTCTCTAGCCCCTATCCTCCACTTCTACTAGCTAGACGACCGAACCGGGTTCACATAGGAGGAGGGGACTGGATCCCCACCTGCGGTTCCTGCCTGAGATATTTTTATCGCGAGAAGGGTACAGCAATCCCTTCCCTCGCGACTTACGAAGTCGACTATGGTTTACTAACAACGAGCTTTCTTTGCAGCGCGTCGCTTTCATCCTAGATAGACCGGGATTCATTTAGTGAGAAAAAACTCACCCTGCCGGGACTCGAACCCATGACCTGGCCCTTAGCAGGCTGCGAGGGTACCCACTAGACCACCGGGGCGTCCGGTGTCTGTTGAGGCGTGATGGAATGGACTTGAAAATGATGGCTCTGGGAGCATGGTTGGAGTTAGTTCTGGTTGACATATCGCCAAACAAGGTCGTGAGAAGTGTGTGAGGTGGAGACTAGAATTGAGGAGGTGTGGATTTATGGTTGGAACTATGAGCTTGTGATGGAATTGCAGCTAGTTGAGAGAAAGTGAGAGAGAGTTGGAGAAAAAGTGAAGCGGCGCAATGGGATAGGTACAGGTGAAGCGGCGCAATTAGCTCGCGTCAGCTGATGTCGCATGCTCGCATGCCCCCCTTTTCAGTGTTCGATTTCCCTGCTGTTCCCGGCCCACGAAGGCCTAAGAAACACACTTTGATCGCAAGCAACTTCGAGACGCGCAAACCCACGACCCCACCGGCACATCAACACACATATCTACGCGCGATAGGCCACCGCCGGCCGATTCCACGTCACTGGCACCGAAGGAGGGGCGACGCGGTTAGCGCACCGCTTGCGGTGTGTTCTTCCCGTGGTACAGAGAGGTGAGGGGGGGGAAGGAAGTGAACAGCGATGAACGGAGGGAGGGTTAGGCACTCGGACAACAGGGGTGGCGGTGGGGCTAAGGGCGGTGGGATGGATGAGTTGTCGACGGGAGGGGATGAGTCGGCGGCTAAAGGGCTGTCAGTGAAAGGGGAAGTGTTGACAGAGAGACCTCGGGAGGAAGGGAAAAAGAGGTCGGGTGGAGACGTCGAAGTTGGAGACTCACGTCAGACAAGGGAATCNCGGTGGGATGGATGAGTTGTCGACGGGAGGGGATGAGTCGGCGGCTAAAGGGCTGTCAGTGAAAGGGGAAGTGTTGACAGAGAGACCTCGGGAGGAAGGGAAAAAGAGGTCGGGTGGAGACGTCGAAGTTGGAGACTCACGTCAGACAAGGGAATCGCTATCTAAGAGTGTACAGCAGACATCCGAGGATGCACAACGGACAGAGGCTGAGGTCTCTGGGGGAAAGAGTGGAAGGCCTGGGGTAAGTGGGTTTATGAGGGTATTGCGCACGCTGGGGGGGCAAGTGTGTCGCAAAAGGGTGGAACGGTGGTGGGTGACTTGGATAAAGGTGTGTCTCCAAGTCTAGCAAAAGGGCTGACGCAGATCACGGGAGATCGGGGCAGAGAGATGTGGGAGAGTCATGTGTCTGCGAGTCGGGGAAGGAGTCTGACGAGAGGCTCGGGGGCAGGGGCAAGGTGCCTCAGCGCAGATCAGATGGCAATGGAGGCAATGGCAATGCCAGGGTTTCAGGTGTTGGTGCCACGAAGTAAGAGGGGTGGGGAGGACTACTATTCACGCCGAACAATTAACTGCGCAGAAACAGAAGGTCACACACAACTGACGCGGGTTATTGTATTTCTCGCACGGCAGGTGATGGGGGCGACCAAGGGCCCGTGAATGAAGACAATTGCAAGAAGGGGGCTGATGCCCAGGTGGAGGAGGATGGCGGAGGGGGCAGTGCCTCGGACGAGGGTGGTGGAAGGGATGGAGAGTCCCTTGGTGGGCAGCCATCGGATGGGGGGAAGGTGAGAGACACATCGAGTGCGATCCTTGACTTGTTATATTCGCATTTTGGGGGTGATGTGGAGGCTCTCCAAAGTCTGGTGTCCAATATGGGGGGAGGTGGAAGAAGGGAAGAGTCAGGCGCAGAAATCGCAATCCGTCTGAGTGGGGAGGAGAAGGCAAGATTGTTGAGGGAACAACAACAACAAGTGGCTGGTGAGAAATTGGCAAGGGAGAGGAATAACTGATGGTGCGACGGTCAGTTGGCCAGCTTGCCGGTAGCACCTTGGCCGAATTGCTTTGTGGGTGATCAGGCAGAGAGAGAAGAGAAAAGCGGGGTGGAGGTGAAGGGTGAAAGGGGTGAACGGTATTGCGAGAACGGAAAGAAATCTCGCGGGGCACAGCTTGAGGAAACATCACTGGTAAGACACACAGGGATTTTCCAGAAGTAGGGGTGCCGAACGCGCCCCCTTCGTCAGATCAAACGAAGTGTAGCATTGGCACAATGGGAAATGTTAATGACAATGAAAAACTAGTGGGGAATGGGTTAAACACTCAAAGGAAGGAAATACGCAAGGCGAATTCTCCGAGAGCAGTGAGGTGTCCGCTGGATCCTCAAGCGGAGCACACTGTTGGTCGAAATGGTGCCAAAAAGGGGTCGATTAACAGGGACACTAGAAAGGAAAAAAGCTTTACCGTTGATTGTGCTGGGGGCAAGCAGAACCATGAAACTGTTGCTTTACCAGTGATAGGAGAAGAGGGCGTGAAAGGGGATGCATCCGCCTCTGAAATTCTCTCAAGCGTGAGGTTGAGGTAACAGCGCGGGAGGGAGGAAATTTTGGTGGAACACAGGAAGGAACAGATCGCATTTTTGCCGTACAAGTACCTGTTACTTCTGTGTCAGGACAAAGGAGTGATGCGGTGTACGCTCTGCCCCCTTTTACGTTTGCTGTCGTCGTGAAGCGGCGGACTACCTGTCACCATTTACTCGGTCGGTCAGTGGGGATTTGACGATGGAACGACATCGGCATACGACTAAAGTGCAAATGTTCGCGGGGTCAAGAGCGACCAAGATAATGTCGTGGGAGGCTCTGTGGGATATGGGAAGTCCGGCATCGTTTGCACAAGAAAGGTGTGCGCAAAAGATTGGCATGTGGTTCAGCTTCAGCTGATAGCATTGAAACGGAGCTGAACAAGAAATGGGGTGGGTTCCATGGGGTGCCATTGGTTACAGATCGAAGAATGCGATTGAATATTGAAATGTGGAAGGGCGGGAAATCAGCGCCGGTTCATTTCGGTACACCAACGGTACGGACGAGTGTCTATGCGTACATTGTGCCAGACTCGGCCATGGGACATGATCTGATACTAGGGAGGGATAGCTGGGCTGATTTTCCAGTTCGCGGATTCCAAGACGTGTCGGACACAGAAACAATTGTCACTTTTGTCGGTACAAATACTGATAAAGTGGCAGGAGATCACCGCTTTGGTGAATGGGGAGGTAACGCGGTTGGTATGGTGGAAACTGAAGGTGATGGAAAGGTGGTGGTGAAATCTAATGGTAGTAGACGATGGCTTCCAAATGCAATGTCATGGGTGGAGGTAAAATTGACCAACCTAGATGGCAGTGACGCTGCGGTGGGGACGTACCGCGTGCAGTTTGGGAAGAAGTGGTTCCCGCAGGAAGCGTTAGTCGAAAATGGCACGTCTGAAATTCCTCTAAGAAGAGTGGGGATAGCTCGTGTCTGGTGAAACCAAACGATATTTTGGGGTATGGTGGTGAACCCCTGGAGGTGGTGAATCTGGATGATGCTCGTTTGGTGGAAAATGAGGATTTCCAAAATGTATTTGCGATTCAGGAGGGTGAAGTGACTGACATGCCTAACGACGAACCTCCCGCTGATGTTATGTCTTCTTTGAATGGGGCGCAACAGGTGGCGTTCAGGCGGTTGTGGCAGACGGTGCCTCCGCACATTCGAGATGTCCATTTCGACTATTGTGCAAGTTTGAGCATCGTTTTTCGAAGGGTGGTTCGGATTTTGGACGAGTGACGGTGGATCTGTTTCGAATCATTTTGGGGCCGGGGGTACAACCAGTGCGACAGAGACTACATCGCTATACGCCAGTTATGAACGAAAAGGTGCAGATCGAAATAGACAAACTGCTGTTGGCGGGTGTGTTGCGCAGATCGTACAGCAATTGGGCGAGTCCGCTGGTGGTAGTCGCGAAGGCTATCGGTGGCGTACGGTTGACTACAAGCGCATCAATAAAATGAGTGTAATCCCGAAATTGCCCATTCCGATAGTGGAGGATATTTGGCGGAATTGGACAAATCGAAAATCTTTAGTACGCTGGATTTGGTCATTGGGTTTTTCCAGTGCAGTATTGAGGAGGACAGCATTCCGATCACTGTTATTATCACGTCTACGGGGTTGTACGAATTTTTATCCGTGCCGCAAGGTCTCAGTAGTAGTCCTGGGTAGTTCCATTCGGTGATGGCCAGAGTATGTGATGGACTGGAACGTGTGCGTCTGTTTATCGATGACGTGATCGTTTTTTCCAGGGACGGGGCAGAACACGTGCGCGACCTGGAGAGGTTTTTCGAGCGTATGGTCAAGTTCAACCTGAAACTGGCACCCAAGAAGACGAACCTGGGGGTGAAGGTGGTGACGTTCTTGGGGCATCAAGTCACGGCGGAAGGGATCGGGCCGGACCCGGACAAGGTCAGACCGCTGCGTGAAGTGCCAATGCCCACTAATGTCAGCCAGTTGCGATCGTTGTTGGGGTCCTTGCCGTACTATCGAAAGTTCCTGAAGACCATGTCGGCAAAATTGAAACCGATCAATGCGATGCTTAAAAAGGGGGCGAGGTTTGCGTTCACGGGTGATCATGTGGCAGTAGTGAGGAAGATGATGGGTATTCTGTCTGGTCCTTAAGTTTTTGCATTTCCGTGTTATGAGGGTGCGATCTCGGGAGCGCGGCCGTATCGGTCAACCGCTGATGCGTCGATTTCGGGCTTGGGAGTCGTAATCGAGCAAGGGCAACGAGATGGAAGTATTCGACCGCTATGCTTTTGAACAGATCAACATTTCCGAATGAAACGAGATGGAGTCCGACTGAGCTTGAAGCGGGTGCGATAGTGTGGGCGATAAAGAAGAATCGAACACCATTTTATGGCACCCCCTTTGAAGTGTACGATAACTATCAACCCTTGCGGAATTTGGGGAGTTTGGCAGAGAAAAACAATCGCGTACAGAGGTGGTATGACTTCCTGTCAGCGTACACGTATGAACTGAAGTATCGACCAGTGCGAGAGAATGCAAATGCCGATTTGATGTCACGGTTGACATTGCCTGCGACGAACGAGAATGGGGTACCAGATGTCAGGCTAGCTGATTCGTCTGATTTCGATGTTTATATGATAGGTGCGAGCGGGGTGCTACCTTCGCGATTGGGTCCGGTGTATACCGAGCGAGAGGCGCTCGCTGGGTCGAACCATCGCGATGATTTGTGGTGGGGGAAAGTGGCTGTACATCGGCAAGCCTCACTACGGATGAACTGGCAGACAAGTCGTGGGCGCTGATCCAAAGGGGAAAGGGCGTGTTCAACCCTTTGCCTGATGGTGCGTGTGTGCCTGATGACACCCGGTTGGTGGAACCGAGTGGGGAAGTAGTCAGCGGTCAGTTTGAGCCAGGGCTGATATGGCATGCTGTTCCTTTAACGTAAGTTGGCAGACGCTTGTTAGGATTGGTGGAAAAACGGCGAGTGTAGACTATACTATTCTCAAGGAGGGGGCAGTGCCGCTGTTGGTGGTGGTGGTAGTAGCAGTAACGCTCGTGGGGGTGCGGCTGTTGCTGGTGGTGGGGGTGGCAGTAATGCTCGTAGTAGCAGGGCTGTTGCGCGTGGAAGGGGTCGAGATGGTGCGGCTCGAGCAAGAGGGGTTGCTGGTGGTGTTAGGGGAAGGGGTTCCGGGGGCAGAGGTCCGGCAGCAACCCCGTTGCCTCAAATTCCGTTGCAAGAGTATGATGAAGAACAGACGCAAGCGGCAATTGGATTCGAGGAGAAATCATGTGGTAAGACGGCTAGTGATAGGGCAGACATTCAGGAGGAAGACGATACGGCGCGACTCGCAATGACGGCCATTGAAGGGCATGCTGATCCAAAGAGGATGGAGAAGGGTGATATTCCGAAAAATGTAGACGTAGATTCGGATGAGTTGAAGCAGTTGGTGGCACAGGGTGCTTTGTTGGTGTCGCCGATTTCGAAGCATTTGTTGGTGAGGAAAGAATCGAAAGCCCCTGCGGAAAATCCAAATCGAAACCCATGGCAATTTGAGAGGTTGGTAGGTGAAGAGCCGGTTCGGACGTATGTGCCTAGGATGTTGAGACCGTGGGTCATGGATTGCGCTCACAGAGAAGAAGTGCATTTGGGAGAGAAAGTGACGTTGGGTATTTTATAGAGTATGTTTTGGTGGATAGGAATGGCGGAAAGCGTACTTTGGTGGATCCGTAGGTGTTATTCTTGTCAGTTTCGGAAAGTGCCGCGGCATGTATGGTGTTGGCCCTTAGTGTCTTTGCCTCTTCCGAGCAGACCGGGACAGATGGTGTCGTTTGATTATTTTGGGTCCGTTGCCGAAAACCACGAAAGACAACGAGTATGTGTTCCTGGTGGTAGATTTATTCAGCAGACATGCCGAGGGGTACCCACAAATGNTGCATTTGGGAGAGAAAGTGACGTTGGGTATTTTATAGAGTATGTTTTGGTGGATAGGAATGGCGGAAAGCGTACTTTGGTGGATCCGTAGGTGTTATTCTTGTCAGTTTCGGAAAGTGCCGCGGCATGTATGGTGTTGGCCCTTAGTGTCTTTGCCTCTTCCGAGCAGACCGGGACAGATGGTGTCGTTTGATTATTTTGGGTCCGTTGCCGAAAACCACGAAAGACAACGAGTATGTGTTCCTGGTGGTAGATTTATTCAGCAGACATGCCGAGGGGTACCCACAAATGAAGGCGCAAAAGAATGCGAAGTGTTTTTTTTGTGTCTATCATGGTGAACGATTATATTGCGAGGTGGGGCTGTCCGCACACCATGTTGTTAGATAGGGGAGCAGAGTTTGCGAATGAGGTAGCGAAAGGGGTGTATACGATACTGGGGACGGTGAAGAAATTTGTCAGCACATATCATCCGCAGACGAATGGGATGGTTGAACGGTTAAATTATACGTTGTGTCAAATGTTGTCGCACTTGGTTGCGGACGATCAGGCGAACTGGGATGAGATGTTGCCACACGCGGTAGCGGCACACAACAGTAACGTGAGCCGAGGGACGGGGTTAGCACCAAACGTAGTACAAATCGGAAGATGCCCGAGGCTGCCGATGACGATCTTGGAAGGAAGGGGTGTTTCGGGAAATCAGGGCCTAAAGCAAGACCAATTGGATTATTTGAATTTGATTAGGGATAAGCAGAGGAAGGCGTACGAGCTGGTAAGAGCAGGATAAGATAACCAAGGCTGAGCATGAAAAGAGCAATCAGGTGTTGAACTCGATAATAGGAAAGAGGCCGAAGTATAAGGATGGGGACTGGGTCTTGGTGTATGATGAGAAGAGTACGATTTCTGTTGGGAGGAAACACGTGCTTAAATCGCGAGTGAATAGTAGGGGTAAAGATAAATCGTTCGCGTTGATCCCAAAGTTGGCACACAATTGGACCGGCCCGTACAAGGTGTTGATCGTGGGTCCAGGGGATGGTCTTGAAGGGCAAAAGGTGGGCCCGAATATTTTGTATTTGGACGTGAATAAGGATGAGCCAGGGAGGAACATTAACGAGAGGGTGTCGGTGTATCGGTGTAAGGCGTGTTATACTCAGCACGAGAACGAGGATAGACCTGGGTTTTTGCCGTGGGGCTTTAGCAAGTATGTGTTGAATAAGTTTTCAGAGTTGGCACCTCCGTTCCATCTTACGGCAGAGGACGTGGAGGAAGAAGTGGATAGTAAGGAATTGGTCCCGTGTAAAATATCAAGGCGCATATTTTGTCGAGGTATCAAAGGGAAGGGGCGGTTCAGTACTACACGCATTGGACGGGGTTGGCTAAGTGTACGTGGGAGCATGAAGTAGAGTTGGAGAAATATGGGGAGGGACGTGGTACCTAAGTATTGGAATGAGCAGCCGGAACAATCGGCCGGACGGAACATAAGGTATCGGAGGTATCGTATTCAGGGTGCAAACAGGACGATTGCTAGCAGGAAGGGAGAAAGGCACGTGCAGAAAGATTACAAACTTTGTGGTGACATACGGGGTAGGCCGAGTCTTCGAAGTAAGGCGATTATTGGTGCATACTTACATTTTAAGACTGCAAGGGCGGGTTGGCAGTTTGCGAAGGTGGTGCAGGTGAGTCCGGATCCGAGGTGGGAAGCAGGCATCATACTATCAAGCTGGTGGACATCGGGAAAAACATTAATGTGGCGCTCCTGGAGAAGAATCTGACGGACAACCTGGTACAAAATCCAGGAACGTGGTGCTGGCATGCACACCGAACGGCGAAAAGTGTCAAGAAGTACATGTTTGAGTTGGAAGATGATTAGGTGTTTGAATTTGAAGTGCGCAGGACTGCGGAAAAGTGTGCCAAGTAAGTTGTTGTTGTGTTGTTGTTGTTGTTGTTGTTGACTTCACATTAAACCGTATGCCAGTTGCTTCTACAACCCATGTCTAAGCAAAAGCTTGTCGAGGAGCGAGGGGAAGAAGGGAGAAGTGGTGCAGTCTAATACGGGTCAAAATTAATGTTGTGTTTGAGCAATTTAATTGTTGTTTTGGCTAAAGCATGTACTTGTGATGGAGTCATATTGCAGTGGTATCACGGTCATGACGGAATTGGAGTGTGTGGGTATTGCATGAGTTGATTTCTGGTGATTAATGTTCGGACTTGTTGCAAGGGAATGACATTGGTTGTGGGTCAGGTGTTGCACGTTGCGGTCAAGCGTTAATTCAAACGAGACTGATCGCATATAAGTATGCGTTGAACCTGGGGGGGGCGAATGTCGTGCAATAAGTCAACCCTAGTTTAGGTCAGGGTAAGAAGGCTTGGGGTAGTTTAATCGCAGTAGTCTATATACTTCGAAGTATATATATTGAGGCGTGATGATGGAATGGACTTGAAAATGATGGCTCTGGGAGCAGGGTTGGAGTTAGTTCTGGTTGAGATATCGTCAAATAAGGCCATGAAAAGTGTGTGAGGTGGAGACTAGCATCGAGGAGGTGTGGGTTTATGGTTGGAATGATGAGCTTGTGAGGGAATTGCAGTTAGATGAGAGTGAGAGAGAGTTGGAGAGAAAGTGAAGCGGCGCAATGGGATAGATACAGGTGAAGCGGCGCAATTAGCTCGCGTCAGCTGATGTCGCGTGCCCCCCTTTTCAGTGTTCGATTCCCCTGCTGTTCCCGGCCCACGAAGGCCTAAGAAACACACTTTGATCGCAAGCAACTTCGAGACGCGCAACCCACCGGCACATAACACACATATCTACGCGCGATAGGCCACCGCCGGCCGATTCCACGTCAGTGAATAGATGGGTTTCCGCTGGTTCTTGAGGCCTACAGTATTATTTACTGAGGAAATCTGCGAATATTAGGACGTACGTGCTACACGAGGCGGCGAAACAGGACATTTCGTCTATCGGTCTGCAGGAGGTCAGGAGACCAGGGCGAACGGAGTTCACAGCATCCGGTTTTCGGGTGTTCACCTGTGGCACGGACAAGGGTGGTACGCATGGCGTCGGAATCGCTGTGGAGGAGGCGCTGCGCAAGGCCTCCCACTACACCACGGAGTACGTTGACGAGCGCCTCATGGCTATGAGGTTTGAGATGACGGGCCACCGCGGAGCGGTGAACTTCGTTGCTGCGTATGCCCCAACAGACGTCGCCACCGCCGACAGTAAACGCATGTTCTGGGAGAAACTTGACAGTCTCGTGCGGCGTATCCCCGCTAAGGAGTGTCTTTTCGTGCTCATGGATGCCAATGCCCAGACCGAAAGAGGGATAGCCGGGGAAAACGAAGGAACCATGGGCGAGTACGGGCGCAATGAGCTGAACGACAACGGTCGGCTGCTGCTGACCTTCGCCACGGACAACAGATTAGCGGTCCTCAACACCTTCTTCGACACACGGAGGAGCGGGATATGGCATACGTTCAACGGCCCGTCGGGACGCGAACGTAGGTACCTCGATTACATCCTGACGCGCCAATCACACCGCGGCCGAGTGTCCAACATGGAGGTCGTACCTCAGCCAGTGCGCCCAGTCAGAGCGGACTCAGACCACAACATCGTAGTAGCCACCGTCGACCTCGGTGGCCGACTGGCCCACAACCGACCTATCCGGACAAACCCCAAACGGCGGCAGTTCAACCGACAGGATCTGCAGGTCGAGGCAGCGCGATGGGCGGTGTCCCAACGGTTTCTCTGCAACTTGCTCGCGAGGTCGGGCGCGCCGGCGACCGCCGTTCAGGAAATGGCGAAGGAGTTCACGGAGGCCCTGCTTGGCGCGGCGGAGACGGAGCTGTCTGAGGAACCCCGGAGGCGGCGCGCCCCGGAATGGAACATGACCGCCGCGGCACGGGCAGCCCTGGCGACCGCCCTTGACAAGCGACGGGCGGCGCGGCATGCCTTCAAGGCCAGACCGAACGCAGCAACGTGGAGGATCCTCAAAGCAGCGTGCAAGGGGGTGAAGGCAACAATCGCAACGAGCGTCTACGACCACCTGGAAGGGTACGTGACGGAGCTCGAAGCGGTTTACCAGGACCGCGACATGCGGGGGCTGTACCGACACCTCAAGCGATCAACGGGCCTCAGCAGGAGACAAGCTGGAGGGAAGCAGTTCGTTACAGATGAGAACAG